CACACACACGCATACAAACACAGACATTACTTACGCGTATTCTATTTCCTTGAACTATATGATTTTGTAACCTATAAAAGAGTGCTGCATTTGACTAGTAAATGAGGCACCAAAAACGAGCTTGTTTGCCAAATTGACTTCTTGATGCAATCCACGGGTATTTTCCAATATACTTATTGTGTGCTTCTGGCTGTTTCGCATTCTGTTTTCGCGTCGATGACGACAGTAGTTACTCAGTTACTCAAACCATTTGTTACGGAACCATCTCTAGAGCGTCGGCAATGGCGATAGTGGTTCCCTAAACATGTTTTACCATTTATCTATTCCGGCTTCTTTCTTTAACCATCAGAAAAACTATTTGCGAAATGGTTAGAGCGGTAGGCAGGGCCTCGTGGCTGACCTGATTTAACCTTAGCTTTGAAGAAGTGTAGAAAATTTCTATGAGTGAGTGCAAATCTGGCCAAGGCCCCTCGAATTGTGTAAAAAATACTTAGGTTTAAATACTTCTAAAAATACCACACACTAAATCACATGAAACCGAGTCCCCTTTACCTCGTTCATCTTTCGATATATCATAACCTATTTCATGTCACCGTGTCCATTAGTTTAATTTAATTTAACTGCATATAATGCTTTGCTATGCAACTCCAGCTATTTACCATTTCGAGCAGTTTACGTGATTTATTTACTGTCTGAAGAAAGCAATTGGGAGATACGTTTGCTGATATCATAAAGAAAGTTATTAGTCAGTTCATTTTGAAGCCCTTTACGGGGAGAGAGAACATTGGCCAGTTGAGCAAAGTAAACTGATATATGCGAAGCAGTTGACTGTTTTACCCTTTCGTGAAAGCGAGACAAAATTTTAGAATTACTGTTAGAAGTTTAATTAAATTATCCCTGGTAGCTGTTCACTAACTAATCACCATAATGCTTGTGAATACGGGGTATGACACGTTCCACTATCTTTTAATTCTGTATAAAGACCAAATAAAGGTTTTTTAACCTTCGTTGGATATACACAGCCAACAATACACAAAGATTTATACGAATAAATTTCTGCGTGGTTTAAACCCCAACCCACAATTACCCTGTATGAGATAATCATTATTGCTTTCGACTAAATATCTTTCAGACTTCACACACATTCCTCAGTTCATTCAATTAACCAAACAATGAAAAAACAAAAGCTTTCATTTTGACCTTGTGAGAGCTTAACATAATTCATATCCACCGGTCGGTTTGTATCACTAATCTATTGGCTTCGAGTACGTAATCGGTGTGTATCATCACTTTGACAACGAGGTTAGACTTAGAGTTGTTTTGATTATCGCGGTCTTCCACTGGAGTTACTGCCTGACCTCTAGGATTTGCCGCTATTGTGATACGTATTGTTAATATTACCAGTTAGGCTTTGTCAACCATCAGTGTTAGCTAAGGCAAGTAGTGGGTGGTCGAGTAGAAGACAGGTTTAAAGGAAAGCCCAAACCAGGGAACTTTATTGCATAGATAGCGGTAAACCTCCTGGTTTGAAGGAGTTCATATTTAACTCAATCGATAGAGGAACTGACTGATATTATTAAGTGTCATGTGCAGTTACACTTTGCATTTGTTTACTTTTATGGCATTTAAATTTATGCTGTTTGGTTTGCTTCTTCCTCATTAGTCAACCAAAAGATTGCAATCAACGCTACCGTCTGACTGTGCCCAGTTAATGATTGTCAGCATCTAAAGCAATTTTTATTATACTGTATTTATTAGGCCGTACTTCTTCCATTTTTTCGATTCCAAAAACGGAACATAATTGTTAGTAGGAGAACAAACCGTACGTATTACTTACCATGTCTTCTGGCTATCG